ATACTTCACTTTTACTGACTGGAATATGTGATGAAGGGGCTCTTGATGTAACTTTGGTTACTATGATACTCTAATAATAATAATAACTAATAATAATTCAATTTATTTCTTAATCGGCAATCAATCGATATTAAAAATTAAAATGTATCTTGGATTATTGATAAATTCTTGTGAATTTTTAATAATTGGGATTTTTTAAGATTAGTTTTCAGGCTGTAAAAAGACTGAAGCGGTAGAACATTATCAAAATGAAGAAAAACTTTACTCAATAAGAAATTTAAAATGTTAATTCAAACGTTTTCACATATTTTAGTCATCATCAGGATTAATTTATTTCAATAATTGCAAAATAATCAAAGATCTGAAAAATGAGAAACATGTCTAAAATTGCTTTAAACATTTTTGACCAATCAAATTTAAACAACTGTAATTACATAATAAATTACGTATTCAAAATGAACATTTTCCTGTAAATTTCTGATATTTCTTTTTAGCTTTTTTTTCTTTCATGGTTGTAAAATTTCGATTTGGGAATATTTTCGATTCTGACATGTCAGTTTTTAACTTTTAGCCATGTTATACAAAACTATAATTTTAGTGTTAATTCCCGGCTCCTGAATTCATTGCGTGTGTAAATCCTCTACCTCTCCCTCCAAATATGCAAAGCCTCTAGTGTGAGTAGCCTATGAGTGTTGGCTGTTTGGTCCATAATCTCTGACTTCAGCTCAGCAGTACCACCTACCTCCTTATTACACTCTAACAAGTGTTGCCCTACTGGGGAGTCCCTTTTGCGGTATTCATCGACCCTCGTCGTTAAAAGTCGGACTGTCTGGCCGACATAGGTGGAGTTATTTCCACTACGTGTAAGCTTATACACCACTTTGGATCTCAGTTCACGATTAAATGAAATGTTGAGAGATGGCAAGCATGTTTTCAATTTTCTTGTTGTAAAAATTATTTTGCCCCCGATATTTGCCGAACGTTTGCAGCTAACAGTTGAGATGGATTGCCTCGATATTGCATTGTGAAAAGGGGGGTGATTCTTTTAACCATTTATAATTTCTCGGTTCTGATGCCTTCACCTCTAAGTTTTTCTTTCCCTCAATGATCATGTTAAGAGTTTCAAACACTACCCTATCCGACCAATTTTTCGGATATTGATTTTCAATCCAGTGTTTCCAATTTTTTCTCAATGCCTGGTCAAAATTTTCCCATGTTGAGGTAGTTCTGAAAACCCTATGAACCGTCTCGTCAATGACGTTTTTTTGTACTGCAAAGGTGCGCAACCTCTGAAATTTAGAATGGTGCCGGTATCAGTGGGTTTTTGGTACCACCCACATGTGACCTTTTTTCCTGATTCCACAATGACATTTAAATCCAAAAAGAACAAATTAACGGTACTATCAAGTTCTTCTATTGTGAACTGCAAGTTTGGATGCAACTTATTGGCAGCCTCGAGAACTAACCCAGGATCGGCCTTGACAGTTCTAACTACGTCGTCCACATATCTTAGAAAAACTTTAACACAATTCTCAGCCCGATCTGCTTTCTGTTGATTTTTGCAAGCAATGCAATACCACACTGTTTCAGCGAAGTACCATACACCCTAAGTGGTACCATTTCCAACAAGCTTCGCATTCTACCTTTTTAGTCCGATATAACACTTTTTTCTGACATCCAGGGCAGACCTCCTTGTTACGCTCATTCAGCACAGTCAATTTTGGTACTTCATTCTTTAATAAAGGTTCGTATTCTTTGAGCCACAAATTGGCCAGTGTTACTGCAAGGGAGGGGCCCATTGCTAAACTATCTTTTTGAACATACCACAAACCATTGCATGAAAAGCGTACCTTACTCACTGCCAAATTCAGTAGTTTTTTCATAGTCTTGCGAGATGTTTCCTGACGGTTGACTTGCTCATATAATCTCCTAAGTGCTTTTTCAACCGCTTCCTTGAGCGGGACATTAGTGTACAAGCTCTTTACATCAATGGAGATTATACTCTCATCAGAGTCCAATTCAGTTTTCTCCAAGATCTCCCTGGCCATTTGAGTTTTCGTTTCTACGTTTGCCCCCTCAATTTCATCAAAGTATTTTTCCAATGTTTTTTTTAGGTTATCATGTGAGCTACTAGGTAAAGAGAGGACGGGACGAAGTGATGTACCTTGTTTATGTACTTTTGCTAATCCATACAGCTTAGCCGGCTGTGCCCCCGTTGATCTCAACCTAGTATACAGCGCTTCGCTAAGGTTGATCTCAACCTAGTATACAGCGCTTCGCTAATCTCGTCCTTCTTTTTCATGGCGAGTAATTCCTTTTTTATGTCTTTTTCAATTTTCATTATCACGCTGCCTGTCAGATTCTTCCCCTCACTAAATTGTTCTGCCTAAAATAAATCTTTCAGTTTCTTCATTTATGTCTCCTTTTTCATTACACAAAAACACAAGCCCTTATCAAACGGCGCTGCCAGAAGACTGTTGTCCTTCAATACTTTCTGGCTTTCTCAACACCTTTGTCAGACGGGGTCGGTTTCACATTCCTAGCATATCTCTTTGAAGCTGCTTCAATCTCACATAATTTTTCTCCGGACAATCTATTTAACTTCAATTCAGACAAAAAAATGTCAATCTCCCCAAGAAAGCGAACTTCATTAAATTTGTCTCGTACCGGATGTTTTGGTCCAAAACTTAAGATTTCTCGCACCCAAAGCGGCAAAACCACTTCATCTAAAATTCTTACTGACCTTTCATCCTAGTTTTTTAATGGTCTATCCTGTCTTTCCGAAAATTTTTCAAGCTTTTTTTTGTGTCGTATTATCAGGTTATTGACACTACACCTTGCTTCCAGGTTCAGATAGAGTATTATCGAAGGCCATCATTTCTCATCTATACCAGTGGTGGTGGCAGCAAAATTGCGGTCATATCTTCTTTGCAGGTCACGAGCACGTAAACTCATGTGGCACTCAGCAAAAAAAAACAGCTTCAAAAATATCTTACCACTTATTGGTCGCTCGGCTCCGGCTGAAGGTCCCCAGCCAACAGCTCCGTTCTCCGCGCCTTTGCCCTGCGGCGTCCCTGCGATGATTTTTTGGTCTGGGCCCGTATCTTTGAGAAAATTCCTGGCAGGTGGTCTCGATGGGACAGCACAACCCGTAGTGATTTCAGTTCCAATTCACTTGGCTGGTGCACTTGGAGATACTCTCTGAGGACCGCAGGATTCTGTCTCTTGTTTCTAGAGATAAGGTTACCGGTTGTCTTTATGTCGATTATCTCTGTCTTCCGCAGATCCTCAAACATATCGGGAGTGCCCGTTTTCCTGCAGTAGACAATAGCAATTATTTGTTTTCGCTCCGTTGCGAGTTTAGGGAATCATTTCTTCAAGTTGATTCGAAATAAAATGAAGAATAGCGTGAAAACAAAATACAAAAGCATATCTTGATCTAGGTGAATAGTAGTTTTGTTGGATATCATCATAGTAATCGAAACTACTGCACTAGGGTACTACTATGATTGTGTGATCTCTCGAAAAAGCAACTATGGTTGACAGGTCCCGCATCCATTCCGAAAATTAATTTGTGCATAAAAAATTTATTTCGAAAGTATTGCAAAATATGTTCAGTCAAAATTTTTTTGGAAAGAAACGTGTAATTAATTCGTTTTTTTTAAAAAGTTTTTCTCGCTTCTGTATATATTTGACGGACATAATTGGGTTACCTTAATTGTCATCAAAACTCAATTTTAACCCTGTTTTAAATTTTTCTCTTTGAAATGGTGAAGGGATGGGGTTTGTTTGAAAAAATACTGCAACATCTTTCTGAATGACAAAATCTTATTGAATGAAGGATTTGAGAGCTCTAGGTGTCTTTTTCTCAAGGGAACTGGTTATTTTCAAGGGACCACTCACTTGTCCTTCATCATTTCACGAAGTCAAGAAATGTAAGCGAAAGTATAACGGAGCTTATTGTTCTAGGAGCTTTGTTGTTCCTTCTAAGCAGCATCAAAAAGTCGTTTATCGAATCTTTTTCGGCGTGCAGTAAAGGCATTCATGATGATACAACTGTCAGGGATGTCAAAAGTGCAACGAATGAAATCTGAAAAAAGTAATTACTTCCCATTGACGTTATTTGAAATTTAGTTGATAATAAAGACTTTAATTGTTTACATTATGGTATTTTGATGAATATCTACTAAATTGGTCTAGGACAACAAGCCGACGATGTTCAAACCACAAAAACTTGATAAAATATTTTAGTGCTTCCTTTTGATTTTGAAAACTTTGTCACGCATAAACGTTAAACGTTTAGAAGAAGAAGAAGAATCACTTTAATTACTTTACAGAATAGTCAATGTATTGGTATAGTAATAGTGTAAAATTGATATTAATTACAAGTTTAGAAAGTAACTCATCTATAAAAACTGATCGGGAATCTGATAGTATAAGAACTGATCGGGAATTTTGTAAAGCTGTCAAACGAGCCAAATTTTGAAAAGCAAAAATAAAAACTCAAAAATATTGTTAAAAAAAAACAAACATTTTTTGCTTAATTTTTGAGCTCATTGAACTATTATTTAACGTTATTTGAGCTCATGATCTTCTTCTTTTCAACGAAGTTCAATTTTGTCGCGCCGGAATTTCTTTTTTTTTTTGTGGTTTTGACTGATGGCCGGCACATATCCAAGTTTTTTCTCAAAAGTAATCGCTTTGTTGATGAAGGGACTCCTCGGTTACCATGATACCTTTGACCTTCTGATTACCAAAAAAAAAGAGAAAAAAAGGTAATCGCTTGCTTGTCCTAGTATTTATTTCGGATTCAGTTAAAAGTTCTTGCACTTGAACCAATCTTTGATCTCCGGAAGTTTTAATGCGATGTTTTTCTTTATTAATGAGGAAATGTATGTATTTTTTTCTTAAAATTTTGCTTGAATATTTATTTTTCAGAATTTCGTTTTCAACATGCGCAGTCTTCTCTATTTTTAAAAATTGCGCCTGCCTAGGCAGATCGAATAAATTTGTTTGCAATCATTTTGAATTCAGCAACAAGAATATTTTCCCTACTAAGCGCTGAAAAAGACGAGAGACCGAGAATTGGCTTCCTGTTACGGTAATTTCAATTTAAACTCTAAACAAATTTGTTGTCATTTTCTTTACGAAAACTGAAATTTCAGTGATCTAAATCGTTACTTTTAAACAACAACCTTTAGCAAATTAAAATGGCCACCAAATCGAGAGAAGAACTTGTCGCTAAAGCCAAGATTGCCGAACAGGCTGAAAGGTACGATGACATGGCCGACGCTATGAAGCAAGTGACTGTGAATCTGGGTCTTACTGAATTGCTGAGTACCGATGAGAGGAATTTGCTCTCTGTAGCATACAAGAATGTCGTTGGATCTAGACGAGCATCGTGGAGGGTGATTAGCAGCATTGAAGGAAAAAATCATAACGACGAGAGAAAGAAAGAACTTGCCAAAGAATACCGTGAAACAATCGAAAAGGAGCTGAATAAAATCTGCACAGAAGTCTTGGTAAGTTTCACTCATACATAATTTCAAGTCTGGGTAATTTACTGATCTCTCTTGCTCAATGGTTCAAAAACATACGCTGTCTATTTAAGGAGCTCTTAGACGAGTATCTTATCCCCAACTCGGAAACGGAAAAGAAAAAGGACCCCGAAGTTACACCCGACAGTCAGCAATCGCCCAAAGGTCTTGAAAGTCTGGTCTTCTATTTGAAAATGAAGGGAGATTATTACCGATACCTAGCTGAAGTGAAGAGCGAAGGAGAGGGAGAAGGTAAATTAATGTTACTTGAATTCAATTATGCTACCTTTTGTACATGACGGCCGCCCTCGTTATGAAGAAATTTTTTTTTCGGTACGAAAACTGAACTCACAGTTGCAAATTAAACGTGCATTGTCAATAAATTAATTGTTTCAGAAATCACGACGAAATCCGAAAAAGCTTACGATAAAGCTTATGAAGAATCTAAAATTTTGCTGCCTACTCACCCTATCAGACTCGGACTGGCCCTCAATTTCTCAGTCTTCTACTACGAGATAAAGAACAAACCCGAGAAAGCGTGTGAACTTGCTAAAAAGGTGAGATCTTTTATAAGTATTCGAAATCTTAGATCGGTAAAGGAAGGATTGTATAATTTTGTCAATGATATGATTTCAAACCGAGAAGAGAAAGAAGTTTCGTTACCAAAAGTCAAGCGTGGTATGATGTATCAAATTATGTTTAGGCGTTTGATGACGCAATTGCCGAACTAGATCAATTGAAAGAAGAAAGCTACAAGGACTCAACACTGATAATGCAATTGCTTCGGGACAACTTGACTCTATGGACCTCGGATAATACCAATGACGAGGAACAGGAGCAACAGTAGTGAACTGGCCTTAGAAGGCTGAATATCTTGCTTGCATAAATTTTGTTTTGTTTTTTTAATTGAATGTGATAAAGTTCCCTGATTTTTTTCCATGTTCCACAGCTTGGTGCATTCAATGTCCACTTGATTGTACTATGTACTCAAGTAGCAAACTGAATATTGATTATTTATATCCAACTAATCTTCGGGGCGATTGCTTCGTATCTCGAATAGAATTTTTGTTACTGTCTTTTAGTTCAATTTATTCAATTGTAGACATGAAGTAACTTAATGGCAATCTCGATTATCTTGAGCAATTTATCGTTCAGAACTACAGCATCTAAGGTTAATTGGAAATCGTTTTTAGCGTGGAAACCCGTGAAATTTCGAAACTGAAATCCGACGTCGAAGATTCGCCTAAAAGGATATTGCTAACCATTTCATTTGGCACAGAAAGCAATTCTTTTCCAACTCAACCCTTATATTTGAATTTTCGCGTTGTAGTTATTATATTTGCAAAGTCTGAAGAAGCCAACTTGAACAATTTTGCGAAAGGTGTGACAGGGGTTCCAAATCACGCCAATTCTTAACAAATATAGCACTCAAGTTGAACAATAGACCCTGCGTGGTCCCTCAATCTCACTTGTACTCAAATTTGTTCCATTTTTGCATGATAGCATCACGCAGTCAGCCGTAATAACTTGCAAAACAACGATAAACATCCGGAACAAGACTTACCTTACTAATCTATACAAGACCTTTGAAAAATAAGGATATTTAAAAAAAGTTTTGTCTACAATTTTTAGTTAGTACTTTCTATTTCGTTTGTTGGGATTGTTCAAATAAAGCACGGAGATTTAACCTGATGCATTCTTATTCTTTCCTCTACTTTTGCATCTTTTGTGTGGCTATGTTTGCATGCTACAAAGGGAGGCGGCACAATAAGCTGAATAGGCGAAGAGCAGGAAAAAGATTTTAAGTCTATGAATGTAGTTCACGCTCTTTATTGGTTGCAATTCTTTTTTTTTGCGTATTTTCAAAGTCTTGATCATTGTTCAAAATCAATAATACCTTTTCGTGGTCTGACTTGATTTCTTTCTAATTTCCGTTCATTTTTTAGTTAAAGGAGCATTTTTTAGTTATTGCAGCAAAAATTTAAAGGTCTCAAAAACATGATCGAATTCTAATTTCGAAGGTGGAATTTAATTTTTGATTTCACAGCGAATTTAAAATTTTCCCTATTGATCCGGTTTTCTAAAATTGGTTCAACGTCATTTTAAAAGTGTCACTTAAACATTGTTTGCCCTTGCGATAAGCAAGGCGATTGCAATCTGGTACTAGACCTTTTACCCCATAAATAACTTTTCACAGAATGGTCAGTGCAGTAGGAATGGTAGAGTTCACCTAAGGCTGACATGGTCATTTTCTTGAACATTCAAATAAAACTGCGATCAGTTAGCTAGCAGAAGGGTGGAGTTCGTTTTGGGCAGTAAATGTTTTTTGAAATACTTGAAAAAATATTGATTTTTTTTCGGATTCTTGATTATTGTCCTAGTTTTTGTCAGTTCACTACACGTTTTTTCAAATACCATTTTTATTATCGTACTATTTTTGTTTTCTTTTTAAAACATAGTTTTTCATTATCATTCAAAGATTTTTCTAGTTTTTTATATTTCTGCACAAAAGTTTTGATTTTTTTCAAAACCTTTCTTGCCAAACAAGCGCTAAATGAAACATCCAACACAACTTTTTTTGACCTTGCGATAAGCAAGGGTATTGCAATCTGGTACTAGAATTTTTCCCGTAAACAATTTTGTCCACAAGATGATCTCCACTTTCCAGATTTCTAACACCAAGTTACTGTGACTAGAGTGAATGCGTTACTGAATCTAACATTTTCAGATGTGAAATTGTTTTTTTCGAAGGCTTAATTGATTTTGTCCCAATTCTTGTCGGCTTATTTGCCGGGTGTTTTTTTTTGAAAATTCTATTTGACTAATTATTAAGTGCGATGCGAAGAAAGTAACACGATGAAAGACCTATCATAGACGTTTTTTAACACGCTTTTTTATACACACTAAAATTTTCAGTTTGAAAAAACTCTTGAAGCGATTTTTTGTTGATTTTTTCCAGTTTTTTTTTTTCAAATGCTTTGTTTCGATTCTCATAAGGAATTTATAAGAGGCAAATTGACCAAATGATAGCGCAAGTTACAACTGAGGCACTGACATAGACGATCATGGTTATTGAAAATATAAGCAAGGATAGACGGTTACTGTGCAAATAGCACAAAATGTTCCGACTAGTCTTAATAAACTACAAAATTATTTTTCCAATTAGTGTCGTTTTTCGGCTTGATGTGAAAAAGAAATCTTGGCCAAAAAGTAGAGCTGAGACATTTTCATCAATCATGTAAAATATGCAAATTGGAAAACATTTTTGAAGACAAATAACAAGAAACAAAATTTCAAACCGGTTTTCTCGACACTGGAAAATTTTTTGGAGTTTTTTATGTGTTCAAATCACAATTGAAAGAGCTTTTATATGATATATCACTCAACCCAATGTGATCATTATTTGTGGTACCTATTATTTGTGGAAAAGAAAAAGAAGAAAAAAAGTAAAACACGCCCGAATACAAAGTTCCTCCCATCTTCTAATGGTCAGAGCAACAAGAATGGCAGAATGTTACGACCATTTTCATCTCAAACAAAAAACAAAATTTGAAAAATGAACAAAGTTTCAATTTTGTCTCTTTTTGTTGCTCAGTTTTCGAATATTTTTTTTTAATTTGAAAAAGCGGTCGGAATTAGGTGATAAACTGCCAGAATTGAAATTAATAAATACCAAACAAAGTGTTATTAAATATGAGCGTAAATTTTTCCACAAAAAGACAGTGTGTAATAGAATCAATAAATCTTTCACGTTTTTAAATACTCAGCACACTTGGCCTAGTGGTTCATTTATTGTTTGTCTGCTTATTTTGTCGGCTTAGATGCCACAGCAAAAGCGAATGGGTGGATTCAAAGATTTAATCCCCTCATCCACGAAAAGAGCCCCTTATTTTTTGTTCTCGGCCTTTTTTTTCAAAAATATGTCTAAGCCCATTTCTTTTGCGAAAGAAAAGAAAACGACATTGATAGCTGTTTCTGGAGACCACAGAAAATCATTTTATTCTACCTAAAAATTCGACACAAATTCTCAAAACTCACGCCCTTGTCCCCTATAAAATTCCTAGATATGCTTGTGCCACCATGACTTTTCGTACGATTTAAAAAATTTCACTAAAACTAAAACTCATTTTGATGTCCTGTGAATTTACGAATCCTGAGTTTCTATTTTTTTGCTACAATTTAATTGGTTGCGCCATATTTTATCATCTAAGAAACTTTTTTTGTGTTGTTAGTAGAAAAAAATAGACTTTTATACTTAAGTGTTTACCAAAAAGAAAAACTTGAATATTTCGATTTCCGAAAGCTCAATTTTTACATGAAAATTTTGTTTTTGGCTAACTGCGATAGACAGTTTTAACATACTGTCTCCAAACTGAACATCTTTCAAGATTGAAATTATGAAACGCTGTCGATGTAGTTTCTTTGACATTTCAAATTTTTTTAACGAGTAATTGGTTTCTGTCTTATTTCGCCTGGTAGGTTTTCTGATATGCTACGTTTGCGTGGTGTCGTAATTGATACTACTGAGTTCAAACAAACTAAAAGTTTCCTTAATATTTATTTTCTATGTTAATAATTACAACTGTTCAAGTAAGTTTTATACGCACTTGTTTATCTGAGGAACAGCTCTTACCAGACTATAATTTTCCCAAAATGATCTTATTTCAAGATAAATGGCTGTTCAAAATTAATGGTAGGATAAAAATGCATAATTTTTAGTGTTTTTGTCGTTTTTGATTGTTTTTTTTTCAGGTTTTATTTGCTGTTTCACAATGAACTGCTTCGTCTCCATTTTTAAGCACGGTTCAAAGCGTTTGCCCATTCTAATTATAGGATTCTTCTATCAGTTTTGCTCAAATTTAACCAAAAAAATGGATTCAATTTACTTTTTTTTTTGGTGTTTGATCGAGTGGTTGACATCTTAGTTGTTGAAATAATTGTTTCAACTTTGTTTCTCACGCTTTTGTCAAATACTATAGAAATCCAGTTTTTTCAGAATTTGTTTGAAAGATTATGCAAAAATTTTGCGTGGGAAACGTAGCTTTCAGTTCAATTTTGATTTCCTACTGGTTGTTTTTTTATTTGAACATATCGTTGTTCATTGGATTTTTGGATTCAAAATTACTGTCCCATCGAAATTTTCTCATTAGTTCTTTTTTTGATTTCATTAAATTAAACGACCAGCAAGTTTCAAAATATGATGATATACATAATTTTTTTGAAAGCAAACTCTTGAAAGTTTTTGTACCTTGAAAAATTCAATAGTAAAATTATTTTTTGTTTGCTTTTTGCCATCCTACTTTTAAAAACTTCTAAATTTTATCGGATTCTTCTGATCAAACAGTTTTTTTATAAGTGAAAATTTTGATTTCATTTTTGTTTTTTGTAGCTTTCACTTTTGATTTTGTATAACTTCCTTCTCGTTTTTTGTTTGCTAAAAAAATTGTCCGCCTTAATAAGGTTAGGCTAAAATTATATCAACTCAGCTATCTTGTTTTGCAAAATTTAAGGAAAAAATGGAAAATGCTTAAATGCTACTCAGAGATAAGGCGTAAGAACCTCGAGTTGTAAAAACTTATAGCTCAAAACTTCTATGACAACTAATAATTTCCGGCTCAGATTTCTACCGCTTAAAACGTTGCTCTGGATGATCTTTTACGCTTTAGGAGATTGTGTTTCTGAAAAAGTTTTCTCAAAATAAAAAGCTATTCGACAAGTTTTGTAGATGCACTTCTTAGAAGGTTTATTCAATTTAGTAGCTTTGATCTCATTTTCTGTAGGTTGCGATGCAATGCTACGCTTACTTTGAATTGCAATTGGTACAAAGCTCAGCTTCGCCTCTGAATAAAAGGTTAAAAGGTTTCATAAAACAATGTTATTTCTTAAAAAAGGATAGTGACTTTTCAACTTTTCCGCAAAAGTTTTGACTTTGCCTGAGATTAATCATAACTTTAAGATTGCTGTTGAATATAACTTTTTATTTTAGTTTTTGAAAAGCACATTTTAGCACTCGTTTTCATAATCTGATTATTATCATTTTGTATTTTTGCAGACAAATGCACTATTAACAACAATTTTTTTTTTGGCAATTTTTTTGGCAATAGTTTTTATTGTGTTTTCATGCAGAATACCTAAATTATAACCCATTATAATTGATTATTTTTTGTGAGATAATTTTTTGATAGAAAAAGGGATTATAATCTATTATAAAAGATAATAAGACATTTTCGGAAAAATTATAATCAATTATATTTGATTATAATTTAATAAAATTTCACCAAAATGTTATCATTAGACTGGATTATAAATCGTTTAAAGTTCTAAAACTGGCGCTTATAATTAATTATAAATTTGCTAAAAGTACAATTATAGTTTTAATATAATCGATTATTTTGCTCTTTTTATTCAGTGTGCGCATGAAGAAGAAATTGCAAAGCCGATCTATTTAATAGAATAAGAGGGCGTGGTCGAAGATATAATAGTTGTTTTTAACACTCCATGAAGTGACGCGTAGGAGCTATGGCGTAGAGTTGTTATTTGCCTGAGTTTGGAATATTCACAGAAAATTTGTTATCTGGTGTTCATATGTGGTGTCATATAAAAACCTGCGTTGAAAAATGGGTATGAAGTTTCATTTTCATTTTTTCAGTTTGCCTGGATATCTTTTTTTTTGGTAAAGCAGGCAATCGAAATACGTAGCAATGTTTTTTTAGTGTTTTTTCAAATGGCTGAGGATACTGGAAATATCCAGTGCCCATTAACTGTATATCATTCAGATGTGTATGTAAATAATCGGCAAGAGAGGTTAAACTCGTTGCAAGGTTTGACATTTCTACCGGCCTTTGATTTTTTAATACGCTAGGATGTAAAATGCTGGAGTTCAGTAGAAATAAACCCAATAGAAACTTAAATTTTGATAGCTTTTGTTCCGATCAACAAAATGCGTCCAGACAATTCGGTCAAAGACAATTCAGCCGATTTGAAATTCAGACAATTCAGCCAAAAGTATGCAGAAAGTTCAGCCAAAGATAATTCAGCCAATAATGGTGACCGCCGCAGTCGCTCCAACGTTTTGCAAGCTTGCCAACATAGGGTAGGATTCTATACAAAATTAGCAAACGTAGTTTTAAGAATAGCCATTTTCACCCTCTAAACAAGCAATGAGAAATCTAAAAAAAAAGAAATTCTTTTTCCAGTTATTTTTTTCAAGTGAAAACTATGCTAGTAACCTTTTGCTTACTCCATAAGCTACTCGTTATAGTTTCCGAAAAAAGTTTATCTAACTCAACGGTTGGTTCTGACTTTGCGCTCTTTCTCTGCTCAAAGATCACGCCCTGATACATGTAATTCTAATTTTCCTGAGAAATATACGGCTACATTTGATGTAGTTACAGAAAAAACTCTAGATATGAAAAAAAACAAGCGAAAAAGAGCGTGGAAATGGATAATGTATAAAACACAGTGTTTTTTTTTTCATTATCGCTTTTCACGTTCTATTGGCTAACTTTTTTCTGAGAATCTAGCATGTACATCGAAAAAGTTTTTTTTTGTAACTACATCAAATAAAAGTTAAGTCGCCTACTTATTAAGAATATCAGAATTATAGGGTGTTTTTCCAGATAAACTTTCTCATATTAATGCCAAATTTAATGTCTTTCAACATATTTTTAATTTGAGTAAATGAATTTTTTCCATGTATATAGTAATTTCTGGTCAAATTTCGCCCGCAAATATTGCGCTTCTTCGGTTTCTCGGCCATTCAACGGTTTCAAATTTTTTGGATTATCCAAGATAAAATTTCCATCTTCGAATGCATATTGAGAAATAGGACTTTTTTCGGAAAATTTATCTGAAACGCACTGTAGTTGCAAGAAATAATTCGAATAATTGTGTGAGCTAGTAAGACTTTGTAAGAGCTATTAAGAGTGAGAAATTATCTATATTCAGCTGCTATTATTATCTTGATGTTATGTTTTGTGAACTTTATGATGTTATATAATGCATTATGTGGATGCGGGTGTTGGTGTGTTCATCCGCCCTGCTCGTCTGCCTTGGGCTGATCTAGTGCAGGATAGACTGTCTCGCAGCCCTTGGGGAGACAGTTGCGGCAGATGGCCACTTGGATCTCATTCTTGATCGGATCCTCCTTCGGCTTCTCCACCTCCTCCCCATCCTCCCCCTTCCCCCCTCCCTTTTTGCCCTGAGAACACAACAGAGTTCTATCCACCCTCTCATCTTATCGAATTTGGGGATCGTGGAACCTGATCTAAACTACATTTTATGATTGGATAAATTAGATATTTTACCAATGTAAAGTATTTAATATTAACCAATCATGATCCATCTGACTAACAAACCACTTATTTGTAAGTGCTGAAATTACTTGTAATTTCAGCACCAGAGAGATTTGAATTTAACTTCGAAGTTAGTTGAACTCTCCCGAGTACTTCAGCAGCCGCAATAAACCAGTATACCCTAGATCTATTGAGCCTAGCAGAGACTAGTTAAACAACCTGAGACTAGATAGTATAAGAGTAAGATTAGGATCGGTATTAGACTAAGAAGTTGCACGAATCTATCCGGCCGAAAATAAGATAGCGTGACGAGCAGACGGTGTACCCTATCCGAAATTACTATATGAGTTATACACTTCGGTCATAACTCATCTGGTGCGACCATAAGTCTCGAACAAGACCTTAATAGCTTAGAATTAACCAATAATAGATTAGAATTTAGACAAAACATTTACAAAATGTTATACGACAATAATTTAATCGAAATGTCTCTACGACTCAATAGATCAGAGCCAATATTCCGAACGATAACAGAACTACCCGGAATTGGAAGAAGACCTCGAACCAGAGACGACATACGACAAAGCAGAAACTTACCATATAGTTATATGATAGTTCGGCAAAAGCCAGAACAAACTTTTGTATTTAGAATACTACTAGCAATGAATTTAGATTTTCATTTGCAAACATAAAATTTTGAAGTCAATCTTCAAAATCATTTCAGGCGCTAAACAAAATTATTAATATACAATAACGATTGATAAAAAGATCTCAGATCGTTTTCCTAAATTCTGCAGTAATATACAAAACATGTTTGAAAAATATTTATTGAAAAATCAAAATAAAAATTAGTAGCATGACAATAAATGGTTAGTAATTAAAAAATCATTCTGTTGTTCCAGCTTCATCACCTAAACATAACAGCATTCATAAGCTCACTAATATCATAAAAATACTAAATCTTTTCCTTACACAAATTTAAATCATTTTAAAACTTAAATTCACTTAATTTTAAAATCAGATCATCAAGGCTTATCCTTGGATCTTAAATCATTTTCTATTTAATTAAATTTAAAACTTGATCATCAAGGCCTATCCTTGGATCAAAAAGAACAACTTTGTTCTCCCCCACCCACTTAACTAGTGTCTAACGACCTCAAACGTCGATTCACTATCCAACCCTTTCTAAAAACCCAGGACTAATAGAAATTTTTGAACAAAACTAATCATTCAAATTAGGATAAACAGTGAAGAACTTCGGTTATTCATCCTTCACTTGATCCCCCCTCTTACCAGACCTAGGATAAATCTTAGACTTAGTAAGTTTAAAATAACATCTAACGAACTACTCGCGTTCTAATTATACCTGAACCTTGTGGATCGATTTACTATTCTCCAACCCTGAACACAATCACTACCCTTAAGTAAGATTAAGTAAGTTAACACCTTAGCTTATACTAGCCACGAGAAAGTATAAAATCATTCTTCGGAATCGATATACTTTTCTCCCCAACCCTGAACAAATAGACCCAGGTTAGGCTAACAAAAAAATCGTAAGGACTAACAGTTTAAGCAAATAGAAATCATTTAACAACCTTTTGCACCCGTCATCCTAAACCTTATGTCATTTAAAAACCTAGGAAATAAACAAACAATCGTTTTACACAATTGTGAAATAGATAACAAAAAATACGACCTTGTAATCACACCTCATACACAAACAGTTGGATACATTCGAACAAAACGACAAACACTAAAGAGAAAAATAATAACTAAACAAAGACAAATTACACGAAAAAGATTTTCCAAAAACCGCAACGCATTTTCAGAATCAGAAACCAACAGTTTAGACGAACTTTATAAACTAAAAGAATCAATAGATAAAAATTGCCCAATTCACGATCAATTATATTTCTCTGACTCAGAAACAACTTCAAATTCATCAAAAAGAGGAAAAAGAAGAATAAAAAAGCAGTATAAACACAAACCAGTACATTTATACAATTGGAATCAACCAATTAGACACATTGATAATTACATATTAACAGTCATCAAACGAAAAAATGAGCTCAACACACACCCCAGGTGAAGAAAGTCCAGATGATGATGATATCTTCCCCTTTATAGTAGATGCAACCACTGATAGAGGACAGCATATTTTTTGCAAAAATTTACTCTTAAATTTGTTTGAACCCGGAATCAGTCCATGTAAAACAGAGTTCCCAGATGTAAAAATCAAAAGACAAATTATCGATCACTATCTAAAAGATATATGTAACCTGACACAACAATACGGAATCTACTCCATAGAATTCAGCTCACCAAATCAGAATCACAATAAATATATAATTCAAACAGACGACCTTGATTTAGAATTTTCAAAAGTATTCTCAGAATATATAAAAAGCATCCAATATCATAACTCACAAAGAGCAAACTCCAAATTCACCAATGAAGTTTTTGCGATAATATATAGTTATATCTCGATATTAGAAAACGAAATCCAGATACCAAATGTCTCACCGACAGAAACATCTAAACATATAAGAGTACGACATGAAATCACACTACTCTCTAGTTTTCTAAATATAATTAAAGAAAATTTCACGAAAGATGAAGTTTCACAACATACAAAACACGACTTACAAAAAATTTTGGCATGGTTCATAATAGATTATTTCACACATAATATTGATTTAATTTCACAAGCAAGAAAAAATTTTAGACCCCAAAACTCAAACGATGATACTGCCATCACAGAACAATCAGACTATGTTTGGGACCCCGAATGGTCTCATCCCGCATTCATAAACTTCCCACAATCAATCTCAAGCCAAGCAATAAGTACGATATCTTATATAAGAGATTATGTAAAAGTAATACCATTAACCATTGATGCAACACCATTAAACTATAATACATTTTTACCCGATATGCAAAATAATAGTTTAAACTCTACAGTCATACACAATGAAAACCTCAATGGAACTAGGAATCTTACTCAACAAGATATCCAGACACCATCACACTTCATAAATGAAGAAATCGTACACACAACAACTACACAACAAAGTATTTCACCAATACGTCCAAACTTAACAACACCAAGAAATACAAATCCTTCACAAACACAGGTAACCTTACAATCAACCGTTAAACCTTCGGTTGCCCCAAAATATTCACACATGGATTACCAAACATACAGACCCATGACAATACCGCCAAAAACACGCAAAACGTTCACTAGAAACAATTTTGCAGACCATAATTATAATTACACACATCCATCAAAAACAAATTATCAACCACGAAAAAATTTTAGTAATTATACAAGATCTCGAAACTAGGATAACTCAATGGCACCACCTAATTCAGTAAATTTCCAAACAAATTTACATCCTCCACAGGATCGTAGTGAAAACTATCCATTTTTTCAACAAAATAAAAATAAAAAACAAACATCTTATCAAATGGATTACTTATCCTCAGATGATGATTTCTTACAACCAGATATATTTGCACCCTATAATCAAGAATATCGTGGACAAGGAATACAGAAACCACATACATATCATAGAATTTTTTCTCCACAACCAATAGATACACAAAATCAACAACCAATTCAGCAACAAAACCCAATTAATACACAATCTTTTCAACCAATTCAGCAACAAAACCCAATGATTGCAAACTCGTACCAACCAACACAAATGCAAAATGAAATACCACTCCCATATTATCTTCAACAACACGAAATAACAAGAAATCAACTTTCAAATTTTTCTCAAATGCCAAATGCAGCAGAATCATTACAAATGACAATGAATCCATACCTTATGGGTGGATCATCAATAACATCAAATAAACCTTTAATGGTATTCACAGGAACAGACCCTGAATATTCTGTAGAAGACTATTTAAATGCAGTAACAGCAAATTTAATTTTAAATATAGGACCCGAACCAATTAATACGCCACTACATCAAAACTGGATACATCGACGCACAGCGTTGATACAAACAACTTTAGACGGCGCAGCCCAAAAATGGTTTTCAGTATTGCCTATAGAAATAAAATCAAATTGGAAAAGGTTTACACAAGAATTTTCAAAAATGTTTGACTCCGAAAGAAACAAACAACAACAAAGAGTTTTATGTAATGAATTTCGCAGATTACCAAACGAAACCATCAAGCAATTAGCAGTACGAATTGAAACACTAGTTCGAAAAGCATATTCATTAAATACACACGACTATAAAAACACAAAGATGACAGAAATCTTAATGATGACCTTAACACCGCAATTAAGAAAAATAGCAATAAAAAAGAGAGCATCCCATCCTTCTTCAATTCGAGAACCCGATTTAGATTTTCGAAAACTAGTAGACAAACTAGAACAAGCAGAAATCACAATGAAACTCGAAGAAACGGAAAATCTGAAATTACAATACGTTAACAGAATTGAAACAGCTTCCACAAATATAAACAATATACAGGAATCAGATACAGACCTCGTTGAAAAAATCACTGAAATACTCAATATTTACGAAAAACACCCAAACTTTAAAGGCAAACCATCTTTCAAAAAATGGTGTAATTATTGCCGACGATACGGACATAGTATTTCTGAATGTAGACAAAAACAGCAAGACAATCAAAATAAACCTCAAAAATATAAAGAACCAAATAAATCATTCTATCAATACATGAAAAAAGATCAAAATCTACCGAACAAAACTGTGTACAGCAACAACAGTTCAGGAAAACCACTCCCGAACAATACAAATTATACAAGAAATCAATCACCATATAACTCAAGTTATAGAGGAAGATCACCAGAACGAAGAAATACGCAAAATTCATCACAAAATCACTACAATAGACCAAATAGTCGAAATAACTACTC